AACTCAACAATATATTTTTTTCATTCAAAATCAACTCCCAGATAACAAAGACAAAAAGTCTTTAAATAAGACACTACAACCCTAAAAGCAATCTTGTCCACCAAGCTACTAATAATAATAATAATAATAATAATAATAATAATAATAATAATAATTAATAATAATAATATCCGCATCAAACATGCAATGCAATTAGTTGTTAATTGTCTTGTTACAATCTTTACTTATTGCTAGTTAATTAAGACATACTAGAGTAATAAAATGTTGAAAAAATGGTCGGTACAATCATAAAATTTCGCCTAAAATTTTAACAAAACATTATTTCCAACAGAAGCTATACGATTGAAATCTCCATTGAAATATATTGTTGTTGGATTTTCCATCTGAAATATGATAATTTATTTTGTAGTGGCCGATTTGAGTTTCAAAACAATGATTCTAACTACTATTTGGTGTAGAATATTATTATTATTATTATTATTATTATTATTATTATTATTATTATTATTATTATTATCTTGGAGAATAAGTTAAGAATTAAATATTAGAGATCTTGTCTTGTTGGACAAGTTAAGAATAATGTTTAGGAGTCTTATTTAAAGGGCTCCCCCATCTATTGTTTTATTCAGTTAATTTTTAAAAATGAATTAAAATTGTTCGTGTTTTTTGGGAGAGTATCCAAGTTCGAGAGAGTATCTCGTTTTATCTTTCCCATTCGTACGCTTTTCCCTACATCAGTTGTGATGTAGCACCAAAAATAACTCGATGGACCAGCCTGATCGGTTAGCTCAGATAAGGCCGGTCCAAGAGAGCTTGGAGCCTAATTTATGTGATAAACAATATTATTTAAAGATATTCATGAAAGTTGGTGTATATATACACAGTTACTGAGAAACATCAGAATTCTGAAATATTGAGGGAACTCATTATCTTGGGGAGTAAGTCATTAAACCCCTTATAAATAAGGGACCATGTTCATTTTTCTAATCCTAAGCTCTTAAGATTACTCGATATACACGATAAAATATCTGTTTTCTGACTTGAGCGTCGGAGTGTCTACGCCGGGACCCGCCCCGGTGCTTTGCAGGTTCGCACAATCGAGATGAGGCGATCGATATGTACGAACTCTCACGCAACCGAGATGAGGCGGTTTGACTGGCAATCTCGGTAAGTCAATTATTTTGCCTCATCAAGTTGGTATCAGAAGTCAGCACGATTCAAGATGCCGCCGCAGAATGACGACATCGACGGGCGTGACGCTACCATTGAGTATCCGGGTCGACAAGCCACGGGCTTCGGCCGCCAGATCAATCAATTGGATCGTCGGGTTGAGGATCTTTCGACGGGGATCGAAGAAGTGCGTCTTACGATCAACAACGTGGTTGAGGATTTGCAGACGAACCGTGACGCCGGCAACCGGGGCGTTCGCGGGGGAATTCGCGGAGGACGTGGAGACCGTGGTCCAGGCGGGGCGCCCCGCTGGAGATCTCCACAACCACCGTCCGGCGACGAAGACGGCGAGGAGACATTATCAGAGGTGAATTCCTTCGACGATTT